TTCAAGTAATTGAATGGTTAAACACGAGGAACTAAGATTCTGCCAGCTACTGTCAGCAGATACTATGACAGCAAGAGGCAGAGCTCCCTTGGTAAACAGCTCCATAAAATGGAACAAACTCTGTTGAAAACTTAAGACCACTGTAAGCCTCCGTGCTTTTCCTCTTCAGATGCCAAGTGTGTTGCTCTGACCACCTGCACTATAAACAGACAGCTATTTAGAAACTTGTATAAAATAAAATTCCAAAGCAAAACACTCCAGCAATTCTCCGTGAGCTGTTCGTCATCTGGTGGGAGACTGCAAGACTATGGATGACAGGTGTTGGATGCTCTGAGTAACGCCTGGCTGAGGAGCGCTCGGGTGCTCCGGCAGTGAAAAGCCCCGTGAAGTGGTGCAGAAAGCAGGAAGGCTCAAATCCCGAAGGATCTCTCTGTGTATTTCAGTCTTTTCTCAGATATCCAAAAAGCCATATAAAGCATGAGCCAAGTATACAGAGAAACATAAACCTACAGTTGGCATGTTTCATTTAGGAATATATGTATGTTGGCAGTTTTCTTAGGGTCCAGATTCAGCCAATCTGTTAAACACTTTATTAGCTCTGATGGACACAAACGTTCAGGACAGATTTTAAGTTAAGCCTGTACTTTATTGCCCTTAGGAAATGTACCTAATCATGAAACAAGGCCTGATAATGAACTTACAATGAAGTCCATAAACTTCATGCAATAAAAAAAAAGTAGTGAAATGTTCTGAAAGTGAATTAAAAACCAGCCAGCTCAAGCTCATATCTCATCAAGCACAAAGCCAGTAATTTTTCAGGCTAAGTACTTACTCTGGCAATAGTGTTCAAATCTCAAGTGAATAAAGGTCCTGGTTATGGCAAGCATTTAAAAAAAACCGCCAAAAATTCCAAACTAAATTTTTTTTTTTATTATTATTCAGAATTACAATCTTGGCTGTTAAGCACTCAGTTCTGTCATGCTGGCTATTTCCACAGTATTGAAAACATGTTGTGCCTTGATGACACAGCTCTTCCCCTGCCCATTTTATCAAGCAGTGAAGAGAAAGTAATTGAAAAAGAGATTGTGTGTCAATGCAAGGCTGAAGCCTCATGCTCCCAGGCATGCATGGCACTCATCCTGCTGCCAGGGCTCTCAGGACATTGATAAACTCTTGATATTGTTTAAAATAGAAATCAAACATTCCTCTTCACAACACACATTAAATAACCATGCACAACATGATTTCTACAAAACTTTACACTGCTGATCAGAAACTTCTAAGAAAATTAGGCACAGCATATACTTCAGATTCTTCCTAGATCCTCAAACATATGAATACTACCATGAGCCCTTCATCACTGAGGTTATTATTGTGGTGTGCCATGAAAAAATCAAACCTCAAGAGACTGTACAGAGCTTCAGTCTAAGGTCAGGAGACAGAATCAGGTGTAAGAAGATGAGATTCAGGATTAAACAGCTGTGTCCTGTTGAAGGATGATTGGATGATCTGCACAAATGGCAAATCAAATGTAGTTCTTACCAAAGTACTTGAGCTTCAGAAAACACTTGCTAATGGTCCTGCAGCTCCTTCACCTTTCACACTTCATTATGCCCAACTCAGAACCTTCATGCACTGCAGAACAGCTGACTTTGTTCCCCCTCTGAATATACTGGAGTTTCTAATATGCAGCAGTTCTTTCTTACTAAGATATGAATGACTGCCCAGAACACACAGAATCAAGAGGACTTGGGGTTTTCCTAAATCTCAGATTGTAACACAAGAAAGGAATTTCAGAAATGAACTTTCCCACTATCTTACCATGAATTTAATACTGAATTTAATACTGGAAAGCTTATACTCCTGAATCTGATCAAAAGGAGCACTGGGAGTTGGTGGTGGTACCCTTTCTGAACACACAGCACAACAAAGGAATCCAGATCAGAACTTTTAATCATTGTGGTGTTCCAGTGTCATTCTGTAATAGTTATAAGAGCGTCAGAACTCTAATCCTGACAGATCTCATTTGCAGGCAAAACTTACTGTTGCTAGACAAAACACACAAGCTGGTGAAAGGAGAAAAATCATTGGCAATTATTTACCAAGCTAGCTGAAACATTTGCTTTCCAATTAGGATTCAAACACATTAACAATTCAGTAATATCCAGGAGAAAGATGACAAGGGAGGGTTTTATGAAGTGACCCTTTCCAGCCTGAATGCAGCTTCCTATGTAGCAGCTGTTACTGTGGAAGGGCTGGTTTCACCCCCAAAGAACTAACTTCCCTGGTAATAGTTAAGCAGCATCACAGTAGGCTTTGGCCCTTTAATTGTTTAATTACTTTTTGTTGTTGAATGCCAACAACTCCCATTCACACCATGTAGTCTAAGGAGATATTTGGAACAGTAAAACAGCTATGGTTTTGGATATTTTAGTCATAGCATTTTGTTGCTGCTCTTGGTAAAAGATGTGTAAGTCAGCACAGACAGTAAGGAACTGGCAAAAATCTCAGAGGAAATAATTTTGACTCACAGTTTTTGTCAAGCCAGTTATCATCCCTTTTAGATAATTATCACTATAATGAAGACTGAAATTGAAAAACACAGAACAAAAGAAACTATACTGGTGCTGCATTTGTCCTCCAGATGCATAAGGGGTGCCACACTTTCAGAGCTGAGCAAACAAATTTAGTATCAAAGCAGTTTTGTTTGGGTAGGGTTTTTTTTTCCTTTAATCCCTATACACACATTGTTCTTATGATAAAAATCAGGAACTTAAAACAGCAAATGCTGTGTTGATACTGTAACATTCATTAACATACCACATACCTCTCTGTATTTGCACTGCTTTATCTCTTTTCTATGTATAAATTGTGTTTCATTGAGAGTTATCTGTACAGCAGCTACCAAAGAAATTATAGGACAAATTTAAACATCCATTCTTCCTTCAGCCTCACAGTTCTAAAGTAACCTGGTCAACAGGCCTTGAATCCAGCCAACATTCAAGAGGCCCTATCTCAGACAGTTTTTATAAGAAGTGTCATTGGCATGTACATGCCTACACCCTGTCCAGGTCAGTCTATTATCTTTTATGCCTCTAGTCCCACTTTCTTTTCCTCAGTAACTGCTAGATCCATATTCACTTCAGAAAGCATAACTGGAAATCCTGAGAACATAAATCCTGCATTATTCTCAAATATGTGAAAATAAGAGAATGGGCTTTCAATTCATCTGCAGACATCTGCAAAGGATCAAAGTGTTCTAAAAGCTTATAGAAAAACAGGTAAAAATATGTAGTTGTAGCACTGATTTGGGAGTAATTTAGTTGAATTCAAGCAAACATACGAGACCTGTGAATTTTAATGAACTGAAAAATCCTGTGCAACCATTTTTAAAGCACAGATTTATTCTAAAGATCCTTCACAAACACCAAACAATTCTGCAGGACATGCACAGCATGTTCTGAATATTTCATCATTTCAGCCAGAAATTCCTTCACCAATCAAAAGGCAAGCAGTTTCCTAACCTGCAAACTTAGATTTGCCCAGGAACCTTGCTGTTGTAGGGCAGCAGGCTCACAGAGGCTAATCTGCTTTTAAAAAAAAAAAAAAAACCAAAAAAAAAAAAAAAACCAAAAAAAAAAAAAAAAAAAAACAAACAAAAAAAAAACCAAACAAAAAAAAAAACAAACAACTTTCTTATAGGTAGGGTTCATTTCACTTCTCAGGAAGGAGGAAGCTTAACCAAAGACCTGCTGAATTTAAGATACAGTTAAATATAAAACAGGAACAGAAGTAAACTCACAGATTCAAAGTGAAGGACTTAGAGGGAGATATAGAGAAATCCCATGGTGTAACTGCTGTCCCTCAAGGCAGCCAGTCACCTTTTTTATCTTCAGTACCAAAATCTTCTGCTAAAACCCAAAGCAACTCCCAGAATAGCAAAGCAGGAGTTCCTTCCTGCATTTTCATTCTCTGGCCTGACGGAAGCTACCTTGGTCAGAAGAGGGTTGACAAAGAGGTCTCTCAGCTTCTTGGGAGCCCTTGTTGGCTCTGCAAATATAAACAGAAAACTGCAACATAACGTCAGGAAGGGTCCATGGCAGAAACAGGTCACAGCCTGGTATGTGTACCCCTACCACACCTTCTGGAGTTTGGTTAATGGGACACTGTCTAGGAAATGTCAGGCACCCAGAAGCAACAGGGAAGCTAATGGGAGAAGGACTTGGTGCTGGAGCAGGAAGACACCTGCCTGCACAGCTTGCTCAAAGGCTCACAAGGGATCACCATATGTGCTAGGAAAACACCACAGTGCCCACCCACCCTCCAGCGACACTCACAGAAGTACCTGGGAATTTTAGACCTTCCATTCCTTATTCTGAGTTCAGTAACCTGCAATAAATTAATGTCATATAATGTACTTTGCAATATAGAGAAATTAAATTTTGAATGCAGTTGAAATTAAACTAGTCCTGCTGACTATTCAAGAATATTACACAAACTCTGGCCAAGCTGGAGCTAAAGCTATCAAATGGCAGGCTGATGCCAGCATAATGATCTGTCATAGGATGCCAAACAGGAAAGATAACGGCTGAGCTCTTCCTACCTTTCTCTTAACAGAACACTAGTTTCACTTTTTCTCCTTTATGTAGTTACTGATTTACCTTTTTTATTTGTAAGGAAGAGTATATTACACATCCAAGGACTATTTTGGCCAGTATTTTACAGTTTCCTTTACGAAATAAAACTCTTCACCAATTGTTTTATCAGATCTTCCTTGCCTTAAAATTAGTTTACTTGCACCACTGTTATCAAGAGAGCAAGATATCTACTTTTCTTTTCACAAAGTATTACTCATTCTGTTAAAAAAATTTAAAAAAAAGATAAAATCCTGACTTCATTTAATCAAAGAGAAGAGAAACTGAACTATCATATCAGTTTCTAAGGCATTTACCAGTACTGATTGGAGGTCCAAAGTGATTTCATATCTTCTGACAATGACATAGAGGGCAATTCTTAAAATCACTTTTATTTTCATATGTATCTTTACTGCAGTTTATTTGTACAGGCACAGCATTTTATAAAGGAACTTGGACTAAACAGCAAGAGAGACATTTATCCATTATTTCAAAAGAAAGAGAAAAAAAACAGTAGTTGCCTTGAAAGGTTCTGTGAATGATTTACTCATTTCCTTTCTTATATTTTCAGTCCCACTTGGAAGTTTTCCTCCTCACGTATCTGGACCCCTCACTGTCGATTGCTTCATAGAGGTCCTTTTTATTCTCTGCTGTTGCATGCAAATAACCAAGGTAAGCCACACAGAGGCTAATTGCTATCAGTCCAAACACCATCACAGGTTTGTTCTGACAAGAAAAAAATGTGGTAAATGTTTTTAGTCAAAACATTTTTCATTAAACTCAAACATTTGTCTATCTCAGCTTAGAAACTGAACAATTCGCTATTGTGATATCTGCAAAAAATCATCACTGCCCTCTTGCAGACTGAATTTTCTGACAGCAAAAGGAATTCCCTTTGGAAAAGAAGATTCTTTCTGGAGACAGAACAGCACATTGCCAGTACTCTCTATTTTGCTGATTGGAAATGCTGATTGAGTATGAATGAACCCGACAAAACCAATTACTGAAGGTCTCCACTACAAATTTTTTACGGAATTCATCTGGATATACTACTGGGACAATGCACTCTGGTCCTGCTTGATTACAATCCTCTAAACCATATTTTGTATTCTTATCACAAAATCTACTCTTATGATATTAAATCTATACTTATTATATGCACAAAATTTCATCAATTTTTGGTTTATGCAAATAAAACCTGAGTATCATCAACTTAATTATAAAAGCAAGAAAAAGGAAAACCCAAAATATTGAAAAGCTACCAAAAATCAATTCACTTCATACCAAGAAAGTTTGCATTCTATGATTTGTTCCCTTCTAAATATTAAAACCAACTCCTGCTGTTTTTATTACTTAATAATAATATTATTTAACCTGTCAAGTTACATGGGTAATATACGTCTAGACAGGTCTTTCTGAAAGCAACTTGGCTAGGTACAAAAGAATCAGACAATATAGCAATGAAATAAAAGCTGCAATAAGCAATGTAATGTTCTGTGTTCTCCACAATCAAGAGTGGAAAAAAGTAAAAATATTTTTAGTTACATTACTGTTTGTTTTGCGTAACAAGAGGATTATATAATGCACGGAGAATTGTAATGATCACTTTAAAGCAACTGTATCTCTTCAAGCATATTTAGTTTCTCTCATAACGACTGTCTTACAGGTTTAATGAAAAGCTCTGGGTTCACAGCTCGGAAAAGCATAGTTGTCTGAACACTCCTCAACCCTGGTTTTCTCTCTTTGGGTGTTTCATTTTCATTTGGAGGTTTGGTGGAAGACATGTTACTTAATGTTGAGTACTTCCTAGAAGTAGAAAGAAAATCAGGTGTAATTTCTGTAAAAAAACTGGAAGAGCTACATTCACTGAATGCAAATTCACACTCAGTTTGTCTTACAACATCAATTTTAGCTGGTGTAAATATTACTGATTACCTCCAGTGTCACCTAACATTCCCAGCTTAAGCACACTGATTTTCAATCTTGTTAATTGTGTGGATACTAAAATTAACTTTAGGAGAATTACATCTTCATATAGCAAATCTAATTCTCCTGTTGATGGGCTTAGGGTTTTTCACTTGCCTTTGGCTAATGCTTTAGCTGCCTGTGGACCAAACAGCATCAGTCTTCAGACCACTGGCTAAAAAGACAATCCTAGGAAAAAAAATTATTTTTTATAAAACTTGTACATGACAGGCCAGCCCAAGCACCACTGTAGTGCAGTCACTTTAGCCACCCACCCAGGCCCAGCACTCGGGTCTCACTTTTGCACTCACAAGGCACACTGCAAATGCCTCGGGTTCAAAATGAAAGAGGGGAAATTTAAGCTACTTAGAATATGCAAGGAATTCCTTATTCTGGGGGTAGTGAGGCACTGGAACAGGATGCCCAGAGAAGCTGTGGATGTGGAATCCACATCCCTGGAAGTGTTCAAGGCCAGGCTGAATGGGGCTTACGAGCACCCTGGTCTTGTGGAAGGTGTCCCTGCTCCTGGCACGGGCCTGAAACGAGATCATTTTTAAGGTCCTATTTCATCTTCCCCAACACTTTGAAACCCAAACCATTCTATGAGCACATGAGCAAGAGTGGAAAAACACTGCCCTGGCTACCCCTGATTACTGAGGGGCAGAGGGGACACGGCGCTGGGAATCCCCTGGGAAGGCAAGGGCAGCGCAAGGGCTGTCGCACAACCCCACTCCGGGCGGCGAGGGGCTCCTGGCGCCGCCCCCGGGACGAAAGGGGCAGTTTGGCCTCAGCCGGGAAGAGCCCAGCAGGAGCTCCCGGGACACCGGAGCCCCGTCCCGGAGCGGCGAAGGGAAGGCGAAGGGAAGGCGAAGGGAAGGCGCAGGGAAGGCGCAGCGCCCACGCCGCGCCGCCGCCCCCCCGCTACTCACCGCCCGCCGCCAGCCGCGCCTCCTGCGGGGCGGCCGCGGCGCGGCTGCGCCTGCGCGCTGGCGCCCCCTGCCGGGCGGCGGGCGGCGGCGCGGGCCCCGCCCCTCAGGCGTGAGGCGGCGGCGGGAGCGCGGCTGCTGGTGCGCCCGGGGCGTGGCGCTGTCCCGGCTGGAAGAGACTTTGCGGGTCATCCAGGACAACCGTCCGCCCGACTCTACCACTAAATCACCCAGCGCTAGATCCAGAGGCCTCGTGAACACCTGCAGGGATGGTGACTCCACCACGTCCCTGGGAAATATTTCAACGCCTAACCACCCTAACAGCAAAAAGATATTTTTCTGATGTTTAATCTAAACGTCCCCTCTCTCAGTTCAAGGCTATTCCCAATAGTCCAGTCACTGCAGACACGGCAGAAGAGACCAGCCCCGAGAACTTTCTTCACGGAATTGTGGAGAGGGACAAAAGTCCCCTCAGGCTCCTCTTTTTGAGAATAAACAACTCCAGCTCCCTCAGCTGTTCCTCATAAGACACATTTTCTAGAACTTTAAAGAGCCTTCTTGCTGTTTGGTGGTCACACTCTAGCACCTTAATGTGCTTTATAAAGTGAAGAGCACAGAGGACAGCGCAGCATTCAAAAATAATAAGTAGGAGACAGAAGGAGCTGGCTGCGTCAGACGGGCCCTTCAGCTGAGCCCGCTGCTAGCACCCGGGCATGGTCACAGTCCTGCCTTCATCCTCTCCACAGCCTCCCCCCGGGCACTGGCAGATGCTCTTCAGGCCCCCTTGCAGTTAAATCGTCTCAAGGCTGAGCAGGCCCTGCTCCCTCAGCCTTTATTTTTTGTAAGAGAGATGCTGAAGTCCCCTAACAGTGACCCTAGGTGTACAGTGGGACTTGGTAATCTTAGAAGTTATTTCCAACCTTAATGATTCTGTGATTCTATGAAATGTAGAGGTGTCTGGGCTCACAAGCTTCCTGTTCCATGTTTTTATTCTGCAGTAATCAAACTGCTTTTTTTTTTGGTTTTGTTTTGAAAGATGGCAGAGTAATAATAAATTCCAGATTAACTTTTCACATCTAAATCCAGATGGAATATCTAAATTTTTTTTTTCTTGTTGTAAGCAAATAAAATGAGGTGAGAAAAATAATAAGGAAATAAGTTTAGGTGTCAAGAGAGGATTGAGTGCTATGTCTGGGGTTTGTGTCAACAATTAATTCACAGCATACCATCTGCTAATCTGGTAGCTATTGTTTTGGTGGCAGATGCCATGCAGCTGATTTTGTTTGGAAACTATTGAGTAGAAAATCTGAATGAAGCTGCTTGAATTTGTTTTCATGTTTGTCTAATTGAAAGAAGCCAATACGAGTTTTTTGCAAGGGCTTGGTTTTTGAAGGTAGCTTGGTTTTCTTGAGGGGAAGGGGAATTTTTTTACTGCAATACAAGAGATGTTCTGCATACAGCTTCCAAGCAATTTTTTCCCCCACATTTTGGAAGCCAAAAGAATTACATCAACAGAGAGAAAGTGTACTCACTTACTGACCCATGTACCCCTTCTCAGCAGTTACACCACCCATGCAGATAAAACTTCTGATCCAAAGTCAGCCAGGGTCATGACAGTTTTTTCCAGATTTTGGTAGGATGGGTTTATGCCAGAACAGATTTGCAATATATTGGTGGCAAGGATTGTTAGGTTGCTGCTAGTTCTCTAGCACTTCCCATCTTATAAAGGACAGGTATAGGTCCCAGACATCACTGACAGGGGAAGATCCTACACTAGACAAAAAACACCACTGGTTGAAGAGAATATATTCTCCATATGAAGAGCTGTGGGATAAGGCTTTGTGTGTAAAAAGAGAAGCAGAGAGGGATGTAGAAATGGGCTTAGGCTTTGATGTGAACGCTGGTACTTGGCATATGTTAAACTTATGCCAAGTAACCCGATTAACTGTGCAGTGATGAAAAGCTTGGACTGCTTGCTGTTTTTAGTTTTGCTTTATGGCTGTGGGAAAGTGTATGTGAATATTATGTTGCTATCATCTGACCCAAAAGGATGTTGAAACATTCAATCCATTAAGGCTTATGAAGTTGTTTGGTATGTTTTATAGGAGAGGCTCTATAAAAGTGTAGAATAGTAAACATCTGTGGCATTTCTGAGTCACCAGTCCTCTTAATAGCCAAGTATCTCTCCTGAAAAGAAATCACACAAAACCCCCTTCTTTTCTAAACCTGAGCCTGTTACTGAGATTTATTTTCCTTTCAGCTAAATTCCTTTGGGATTCTGCATTCAGTATTGTGCTTCGTGCCCTAGCCATTCACAACCTAACAGCAATATCTGCTTTTCTTGAGGCTCACATGCCCTTATCATTTGAGCTGCAGAAGAGCCTCTGTAGAGAACAGAGCAAAGCCGGTGCTGTGCCCCGCAGACATGGTTAGCATGCGACAACCAGCCTGGCACGGTCTGGGGAGCAGCACTGTGCCTCCTGCCCTTGCTGACTGACCTCACAGCTCCTGCTTATTTCAAGTACTGCACAAGAACAGAGCTTCACATTGCCTTCAGAATAAAGATAGGGTGCCTCAAGGTACTGATAAGTTTATCCTTGCTTTAGAGACATAGTTACAGAGCTGTTGTGGGCAGAAAAATTCTTTTTGCAACTACACTGGCACTTCAGCACTGGTATGACTTGTAGTGAGAGGGGCAACTACCATCATATGTTTGTTAGAGTTTTGATACATGGATGTGAAATTCACCTTTTAAAATGATTTTAAAATGTTTTAGGCACCATGAGTTTCACAGTATTTTAATTGGAGTTGAAAACTGGGATTTTTTTTGTTTGTTTGTTTTGTGCTGAACAAATCTGGGGGAGAAGGGAAAGCAAAAAATTAGTAATTAGAAGTACTTTTTTCCTCCTTGCTCAAAGGTAATAATGAGAATAATCATTGTTGCACTGAGGCATGTGAAACAGTGTGGCCATATTAAGGACATAAATGCACAAGAAACAAACAGACCAGATAGACAGGGGTAGCATTGAGGGTATTGTGGGTTTTCTGTGTGGTTGTTGCCCTGCTCATGTCAGTCTCAAGAGTCCTTATGCTGATTTTCAGCAGCTTTTCCTCTTTTGTGTTGCTCCCATTGAAAGAAAGCTGTTTTCAGACAGCAGCATGCCCTGTTTGGGACACTACCACTGTTGTTTTGGGACCCTACCACCATTGTTTGGGACAATCCAAAACAGTTTTAAGGCAATATGCGTTTTAAAACCAAGACTCTTCCGGGTTTCATAACATTATGTGACTATTTTCTATAATGCTTGTTAGCCAGCCATGTCTCTGCGAGACAAAACAAATCATCCAGCCGTGCTTTCCAGCAAAGATTAAAGCAATTGTTATTCTTCAAACACTGATCAAGCTTGTAAATCTTTTTCAATTGAATTCAGTATGGAAAGAAAAAAGCACTTTATTTGGTTCTACTTTCATTTTGAGTGGGCAAATTGGTTCTGACTGGGAACAGAATATAAAAACTCAAAGCATCCCCTCTAGAAAGAAAAAGTTTATTTCCTACTACAAAAGAAGAGCAGAGAAACATGTGTAGCACTGAATTTTCTCAATATACAGCCAGATACCTTACAGTGGGATTTAAAGACAAATTTGAGCTAAGACTGCTTCTCCAAAAAGGAAGGGCAAGGGGAGACCTTTTTTCACTTGTAATTGCTCTGGACTTCTTTGCATGCAATGTCATAATTGCTCAGCCTTGGAGTATGCCAACTTTGTTCCCTGGTCCATTTCCAGAAAAGAAAAAAGAATAAAGTTTGTTTTTCAGTTGGATGAGCAAGACAGTCCAATGTAAGCAGGGCAATGCAGTTGGGAAGGCAGTTGGAAGTGGAAGCACAGACCAGGACTAACCTCTGCCTCTGACACCAGGATCCCAATTAGTTTAAGGTGTGAGAATTTAAAATCCTAAGGTAGGCACCTAAAAGCCTAAGGTAGGCACCTAAAAGCCTAAGGTAGGCACTCTTTCTAATCTCAGGTAGGGAACACAGCTCCTAAGAAGACTACAGAGGGTAGAAATTTCACTGTTTCAACAGAACAAACTCTGTTGTAAGGGAATCTGACACACAGTATTCTGGAACTCTGCAGATTTTCTGCACCTTACAGTTGTCTTTCAATATATAAATACCACCACATAGAATAATAGAATCATTAAGGTTAGAAAAGACCACCAGATCACTGACTCTGAGAGGAGCTCAGCTGGTCAGAACATGGTGCTGATAACACTGCAGTGTGGCTTCAATCTCTGTATGGGCCAATTACTTAAGAGTTGGACTTGATGATCCTTGTAGTCCCTTCTGGTTTCTGTGATATATTAATTCAGTGTTTGGCTGAACACTGCCATGCCAATTAAACCATAGCACTAACTGCCATGTCCAGTCATTTCTTTAACACTTCCAGGGATGGAAGTGTTGATTTGAACCTTATAAAATTTGCCTTAGCCCATTGATCCAGCTTGTCCAGATTTCTCTGCAGATCCATCCTGCCCTCAAGTGGAGGGCCTCAACACTCCCACTCAACTTAATGTCATCCACAACCTTACTGAAGGGTGCATTCTATACCCTTGTTCAAATCATTGGTGAAGATGTTAAGCAGGGCTGGCCCTGATACTGTTCCCTCTGGGACACCATTAGTGACTGGATGCCAAATGGATGCAGAACCATTCACCACCATTCTCTGGACCTGTCCACTCAGCCAGTTTTAAACCTGGAGTGTATCTGTCCAAGCCATGGGCTGCCAGCTTTTCCAGGAGAATGCCCTGGGAAACGGTCTAAAAGGCTATGCTGAAGGTCAGATAGGCAACATCCACAGCCTTTCCCTCATCCACTGGGTGGGTCACCTGATCATAGGAGGAAATTAAGTTTGTCAGGTAGAACCTGTCTTCCCTACCCCCAGACTGGCTGGGTTGTCCTGTATATGCTACATGATAGCCCTCAAAATGTTCTGTTCCATAACCCTCTCCAGCACTGAGATCAAGCTGATTGGCCTGTAGTTTCCTGGATCCCCCTTCCA